TTTTTAAAATATTTTGGAGATTGATATGGAGAAGGGTCTAGTTTCTTGATATTGTGCTTCTAACTTCTAAGGGTTGTTGTAACTTGCCTTCAAATCTTCGCAGTGACTGATCTCTAGCGTCATCCAAGTGGAACCTCTCGAACACCTTTAAAAAATTTCTTGTTATAAAACTTGTGGAATTCTACGTTAGTCTCAGTTATGGGGGGGAACAATGTGTGTTAGTTCACTTGCAAAATATGTTTGCCAAAATGCGCGGCACAAATTCATAAAAAGATTAAGCCGTTTTAGTAAATAATCAGCACAGAACTCAACTATCCGATGGCAGTCTTCTTTCAATGGATAAAATAAATCTTTTGATTAATTAAATTGTACTGTTGGCTGCTAATCGTTTGACGGAAATAGGTATACTTTCGAATTAACAATCTAACAACATAGATAGTTTTTTCTTTATTTTGTTTTTTTTTTTTTTTTTTTTTTTTTTGTTTTATTTTTATAATACGAAATTACTATATTACTAGACACTAATATAGTGAGAGCAAGCGTAAGTGGGGATAAGCAAGCATAATAAAGCTCTTTCTTTCTTCTGTGCTGTCTTCTGTCTGTCTGTCTGTCTGTCTGTCTGTCTCGTGTCCTGTCTCTGTCGTCTCTGTCTCTGTCTGTCTCTGTCTCTGTCTGTTTCTCTTTCCCTCCCTCCCTGCCTAAAATAGCTCAGGAATTTGTAAATGTTAATAATATATCGATATTAATATATTTTTGTTTTTATTCACTCATCTCTATAAGCGAAAAGTTCATACCAATACCGAAAAAGATCCACCACCTCCTCTTAATTTATGAATTCCTGCTCTTTCTTCTTGTTTGTTTATAACCTCCTCCTCTGAATATGGGGTAACCTCTTCACTCGGAGGAGATATCCCATAAACTCACTACTTTTCTAAAATTAAAATAAAGGTAAATTTGATTAAGGTTTATCATACTTAAACTTTACCGTTTTTGAAATATTTTTAATTTTGTGAAATTGCAGTAAAAATTTTAAAGCTTATTCCTTTCTCCAAGGATATCAAAGTTTTTAATACTAAATATTTACTGAAGTTTATTTATTTATCAATTATTGCGTCGCAATAATAAAAATAATACTACTTCATACAGAGTGTCTAAAAATTAATTTTAAATAATTTCTAGCTTTAAACGGCAATAACTTGTTTAATTTAAATTGAACACCCTGTATATTTTAAGAGAATCAGATGTACAATTTAATTGTCTATCAAATTGTATTATACCATTTTTTACTTTTTTTCTCTTCAAGTTTTCGTACAAAATGCATTTTCTTATAATTTAGACCTCCATTTATCAATATACCCATGGAATATTGACATTTTAGATAGTTTTTAAAGCAACAAATGTACAAAATGTACAGGTGCTAAAAACGATAATAATACTAGCCCATTTATATTCAAAAAGAATGAAATTAGAAGAACTATTTAAATCTTTATAAAAGAGTATACAATTAATTAAATATACCACCATTATCCGCCCAAATATTAATTAATTACATACTTAATTGTGTTAGTTAATAAATTATTATAAATAAATGTGGATTTGAATCAAAAATCAATATAATAATAAGTTATGGAAATGAACGTCTCTGTTATAAATAAGCATTCGTCAAAAAATTAGGTGTTACTTTTTAATACACTGTCTATTACACATACAAAATTCAGTTTTTTAGTATTTGGAGCAATTATTATTAATCAACGCAAAGTCAATTAATGTAGTTTGAATACTGGAATCATATTAATTGGTCCTCTAACAAATATTTAAACAGTTTTTTTATGTTTTTAATAAAATAAACGAACTATATGGACAATATTAGTATCTGTATTCTTTAAAAATTTGTTACATCTTTAAAAATAATTTAAAATGTCAATATTCCATGGGTATATTGATAAATGAGTTCTAAATTATAAGAAAATGCATTTTCTATGAAAACTTGAAGAGATAGGTGAAAGATGGTATAATACAATTTGATAGACAATTAAATTGTGCATCTGATTCTCATAAAATATACAGGGTGTTCCATTTAAATTAAACAAGTTATTATAGTTTAGAGCTAGTAATTATTTAAAATAAATTTTTAGATACTCTGTATAAGGTAGTATAATTTTTATTATTGCAACACAAAATTTAGAAAATAAAAATACTTCAGGGTTACAATATTTGGGTTAAAAACTTAAATACGCCTAGAGAAATGAAGCATTAAGATTATTACTGTACATTACTGTACTAACATATTTGGGTTGTTGTCAAAATACAGATTTTGACAACAACCAAAATATTTCAAAAACAGTAAGGTTTAAGTGTGATCAACCTTAATCAAATTTACCTTTATTTTAATCGTAAAAACTAAAAATATAATAATATACAGGGTGTTCAATTTAAAAAATACAACTTTGATATTTTTTATTTATTTGTGACACTCTGTATCTGTAAAAATATTTTTAAATTGTAGCTCTAATAGTCCTCCAACGAACCCAAAACTTACAATTTGCAAAAATCTAATCGTTTAGCTACAATATTCCGTGTCGTATGTGGTGAACAACCCTGTAGTTTCTTACCTAAAGAACACGTGTAATATTCACTAGAGCATTAATAAAAGGCAGGAGATAGAGGTTTTTTGTATTCATACATTAAATATGAAAATGGCTCACCTCTATAACTTTTTTTTGATAAAAAACGATATCTGGTATTAGGATTGATTGGTGTAATTGTTTTTGGTCACTTCCTGTTTCACCGGAAATGACTACAACTTTTGATTTTTATATGACGCCCTCGTTATTTTTTTACTTTATTCGACAGAAAATGGCACTCTGAATAGAATGACATAGCATATGTCAACTTTTGACAATTTTGCATATAGTTTATTTATAATGACGACAATTCATAACGACAATTTGACTTGAAGTACCAAACGTGTGCTACCAAATTATTCGTAGAAAAATGCTTTTCCAAATATGCTAATGAGCCACCCTTGTTCCATTTTTAAAAGTTGAGATATGATTAAAAATACGATTATTCTAACCGGTTAACCGGCCAAAATTAGTGTGTGTACAAGACAAGAAAACAACTATTTTTCAATTATTTTTCCACGGCTCCTTGATTGATAATAATTAGTGTTTTTAACACAGCCATTGCATTCTAGATTGAAATTTAGAATACGATTTTTATAAGCGAGGATGTCAAAAATGGACTTATGTTGTGTCATTCTATTCAGAGTGTCATTTTCTATCGAATAAATGAAAAATATACCGAGGGTATCATTTAAAAATCAAAAGTTGTAGCCATTTCCGGTGAAAAGGAAGTGACAAAAACAATTAAATGCGTCAATCAATCCTAATTTATGTCATATACTAACATACCACATGTCGTTTTTTTATCTTAAAAAATAAAAAAGTTATAAGGGTGAGCCACTTTTGAGACGCACCCGGTATATTCATATTAAATCGTCCTTTGTCAGTTCATTTTGACTTTTGACAAATTTGAGTTTTTGGCAAATTTATTGTGCTTTTCTGTGTATAATTTATATGTTTATTCGTTTATTTTATACTTCGAATAAAAAAATTAAGGAAGGAGCATATCAAAAATCTTAGATTGGCCGACTTAAATTCCGGTTTTTATCAGTGCCGTAATTTTCTTCAAAACTTGTAAAAATCATCAAGGTAGACTCAATAATTTGTTGTTTTACGTTATCAGTAAATGTTGGTAGTTATTAAAATTGTTATAAAAATGTATAATTCTAATAACAATATGTAAAGTTATAATAATTATTATTATTTATTAAAATAAATATCCGAGATACGCTACTGAAGGTAAGTCAAATTGACGTATCTAAATTCTTTGACATCTAATCTTTGACAAGTAATAAATTAAAGCAAAAATGCAAGAAAAAATATATAATTAGTTAATTTTGAGTGAATTTCATAAATGATCGGTTTTCTACACGTATGTATATTATATAGTTATTTACTAGCGAAAAGTTATTCCATTATTTCCCTCGATTTTTCACCGAGATCTACCGCAATCAACCTATTTTACAATCTTTTTCGATAAATCGCAATAGTGTCATTGTTAATTTAAGTTCTGTTACAATTTCCTTCTAGATTTACTACCTTTAAACAACTATCAGTAGTAGAATAAATAATAAATAACATAAAATAATCTCAGTAAAAACTGATCCGCATAATTTTAAATCAAATTCAAATGTGTCAAACGAGTCGTCAAACAGAACTGTCAAGGATCCCCACCCCAGGGCCTTTTGTCCGTCTACCTTGCATGAATAAAGCTTGATTTTCATTATACCTTCCGTTTCCATTCCATATCCGTTCCGCATTTTTTATTGTATTGACGCTATACGTAACCTTCCATTCCGTATCAGTTCCATACTTTTTATTGTACAATTTATATCATTACGAAAGTTTTATTTTAAAAATTTGTATCTTTTAAAAAAGGTAATAGATTTAATTAAGCGGTGAAAGAATAAATAAATATCAGCAAAAGTTTAACAGAGCTGTTAAAAATGTAAGAATTTAACCATGCTGTTTCGGTTACGGTTCAGTCCGTCCGCCAAAAAAATGTATGGAAAGAAAGGATATGGAATGGAAGGGAAACGGAACGGGATAGTGTGCATTGTCCTATTCATTTACATGATATAATATTTTATGTAAACGGAAGGGAAACGAAAGGTAGCTGATACGGAAGGTACAGTGAGAATCAACCTTCCTTCCTTAATCTTTTTATTCCAAAATTTTATAATTGGTTTTATGTAAAATTTATAATTATTCTGGAATGACATAGTGTGAGGACTATAGAAATATAATAAAATTATTATTGTAAATATTTGAAAAAAAAACTTCAAAAACATTTACTTGTGAAGCGTTTTATCGTTTGCATTTTGTATAATTAGCAGGCAATTAGCTGCAACCAATTAACAATAAATATTTTTTTAGATTGTAAATTTGTACTAGATTTGCATCAAAGATTCTTGGAAATATTCAACAATGACAATAATAACAAACCAGAAATATTCAGTTTTATCGATACCGAAAATACACCTGTGGCATTTACTTCTTTGAAATTTATCGCATACGAATCAGCAGGTGAGTAGTTTAGCAATACACGTAATATCTGTGGAAACTACAATTATTATTATACCGTATCGTCGAAAGAAACGGCGTCCAGTTATTGACTTGGAAATGACGATCGTGATATTCCACATATAATTTTACATATAAAATGAAAGGTGCTACAAAATATTACTCGCTTTATTATTTGGACATCGTTTATCGTTTGTTATGTTCAACTACAATCCAATTTATTCAAATTACATTACAATTTAGCATGTGTTTAGGACTTGATATCCTCAACAGACTAAGCTGATTACTTACAAATTTCTATAAAATACACATCGTCGTTTTTTTTCTTACCCTTCATATTGTTACGGATTCCGTGGGTCCACTAATATAAACTCACGATAAAATACTTAACGAATTTATTTTCTCACTTTATACACACAATAACTAACTATTTATATTAATAAGCGCGGTATAAGCCAAGCACGGGCCTTTATATACCCCTACTGACTGTTTCTCGAACCTTCTAAAGAATTCTGTAATATTCTTTTACTTTCTGGCGAATTCGCCAGGTTCCTCAATGCACGTTACGGTTATGTAGCAGTAATGCAGTTATGCAACCAGTAATACAGTTTAGCGCTACATACACCTTGACATTGCCCCCTTCTCAAATTTGTTCGTCCCGATCAAGGTTTACTGTCCGGTATCTCTTCAATCGATCCAGATGTACTACTTTCATCTTACTTCTAGGGCTGCGTTGAATCCGGTACACAACATCATTTATCTTCTTGATGACTATATAAGGACCTTCCCATGCTGGAGTTAACTTTGGGGACCTTCCTTTCTTCCGCTGTAGGTTATACAAACATACCCTATCGTCCTGTTGAAAACCCGTAGAATTAGCTCTGAGGTCGTAACGAGCTTTCATCCGGTCACTGGCTAGCGCATTCTTCCTTCTAACGGCCTTATGAATGTCCAATAATCTTTCCTTCCTAGCGATTCTTTCGAACAACAGTCAAACGCTATCCTGTTCCATTTCTTCCCCAGATCGAGTACTTGGTCTTTGTCTAGCTGCGCAAATCTTACAACGTTGGCACCATTTGTTAACATCTTCGCAATAATCCACCCAGTAAAAACGGTCTTTCAGCTTGCTCAAGGTCTTGTTTACTCCAAGATGGGCTCCAGTTTTACCACCATGAATTTCTTCCAATACCTGGTTAACTTTCTTCCTTGGTACCAGTAACTGAGTTGTTACTGTCCTGCCATCCGCACTTTCCCACGTGCGCTTTAATAATCCATTCTCAATCACCAGTGAATTCCACTGAGCCCAGAGAGCTTTGAAAACCAGCCCTCTGTCCGCAATATCCTGCCACGGTGGTCTCTCGCCGTTACCTTCCATGAGTCGTAGTATTGCTCCGATGTCTGTATCGTCGTCCATTGTTCGTCAGTTCTCAGTTTAAAATTCCTTACTCTGATAGTGCTTTCGCGATGTTTCATTTTCTTGCCCAAGGTAGCTCGTCGTCGATCTGTCTCCTTGTCGATAATTTGTACCCGTCCTACACGGCACTCAGGGGTTTTCTCCATTTTTCCGAACACAGTCTTCTTGGCATCACCAGGTATCATCACAATTTCCGCTTACCTTGCTTCCATATTTCCTGGTCTCTGCTCTCTAGATACAGAAAATTCATCATTTCCGATTTTCAGGATGTTTCTATGGTGATCGAACAAAAAACCATGTTGACTGATCACATCCATACCCATGATAAAATCATCTTCAATGTCTGCCACTAAAACGCTATGCCGAAACTTCAAATTCCCTAACTCCAGTTCCATGAAAGCCTCTCCCGGACAACGGTCATTTCCCCCGTAACTGTACGTAAATACACTCTTTTTCTAAGAGGCATCATCTTCAATCCTTGCACTGAGTTAGTCCGCACCAACGATACCGTAGCGCCTGTATTCACAGTCATTCGAATTCTACTACCATTGACCTTCCCGTTGATCACCAAACTGTCAGCGGTTTTTCTTAGACTCCTAATGGAAAACATCCTAGAGGCTCTGTTTTCTTCAGCCAATACTTGCCCATTGGTATTAATTTCCTGGTGCCAGTGGCGGACACACCAAATACACTAAAATCTATAGATTGAATCACATATTAGGTTTTTGGATTAAAAATGGTAGGTACCCTAAAAAGCATATTCTACATTACTTTTTATTTTGGGCCTCCCCTAAAAGAAATTCCTGTATCCGCCCCTGCCTGGTGCCTATGTTCTCTGAAGGGTAAACGGAATCGCATTTCAACGCGGCAATCCCGTTTGATGTGGCCATTCCTGCCACATCTATAGCAACTTATGTCCTGGGATCTTCCGATATGCCGATGTTCTCTTAATGATGAACGGAATGGCATTTGGATGCGACAATCCCGTTGAATATGGCCATTCCTGTCACATCTATAGCACATAATATCCTGGGATCTTCTCTGGTTCTCTGGCTGGGTGTTGTTAACTCCTTTGTTTATTAGTAGCTCACGTAGTTTGTCGAAATTTTTACACATCTCCCCCAAACTGCTGTGGGTACTCTCGGGCTGTTCCTCGACTGTTACCGATCTTATCTTCGGTCTAGGGATGGCGCTAAAAGCAGCTTCGATTTCCAGCGCCCTGACCAGTGCTTCGCTGCTGGTAGAAAATCGGGATATTTGCAGCTCCCTCTGTAACTCGATGTCCTTCAGCCCACTGATAAAGCACTGGGCCGCGAATTCCTCCCTAAACCCTTCCTGGATATGCCAGGATATGCCAGGTGTACTAGCCGACGTAAGTCTGCTTCGAATTACGGCAAACTCTCTCCGACTCTAAATAATTCAGAAAATATTAATTTTCTGAAAAAATGTTATAGAACATTTTTTGCTTTGAATTCATCCCTTTATTGATTTTTCTAACTAAAATGGGTGATCTATTTTGCACTCACCCCCAGAGTGAAAGCACACATCGCTACTATGTAACTTTTGTTTCTTACATATATATATCTATTCACTGTTAAAATTTCACCTCAATCGGTGCGGGTGTCAAGAATTCGGAGCTAATACCCTATTTTTATCCTCGCTTACTGGCCTATAGGGTTAACATTTACAAAAAAATTATATGGCGTCATATTTGAGATTGATTTGATATTAACACGCTCTGTAAAATATTCTTACATATTTTTGATTTATTATACAGGGTGGTCCGAACTGTTATTCCGGACACTTCGGCAGCATATTCTCCAGATAAAAATAAGTAAAAAAGTTCGTATAAATAAGCTTAATTTCGGAGATACAGACAGGGTGTAGAAGTTTCAATATTATTTGGATTTTATCCAAATAATTTCTGAACTAACGTCAATATTTGGATGAAAATTGGTGTATGGGAGTTTTTTGACATGAGAAATTTGATTTTGATGTCAATATAACTCCTACTTGTAAAGGGCGCCACCTACATATTTTTAACTGATTTGAAGAATTATTTAAGGTAATAACTTTTCGTCGGTACCTGTATAAAACTACTGAGTAAAAAATATACATTTACGACGTTTTTTACTTAAAAAGTGTATCTTGGTAAAAATCGCTACGCGTAATGCTTCTCGAGATATTTGAAATCGTTATCAATACCTGTCATTATTGACAGAAACTGTTTTATCATCATTTTTCAAAATTTTAAAATATTTATGATTAATATAAAAAAAATTATCGTAGTCAATTATAAAAATTATTTCTGTCAAATAACTATCTACTCAAAGCGTTTATTTTTTGTAAATAATTAGAACGGTTATTCGTAGCGATTTTTACCATTTTACGTAGAAAGTCACGGAAATGTATATTTTTTCACTCAGTAGTTTTATACAGGTACGGACGAAAAGTTATTACCCTTTAAAACAGTTAAAACACATGTAGGTGGCGCTCCCTACAAATAGGAGTCATATTGACATCAAAATCAAATTCATTATCATGTCAAAAAACTCACAGACACCAATTTTCATCCAAATATTGACGTTACTTCAAAAATTATTTGGAAAAAATCGTAATGAAACTGAAACTTCTACACCCTGTGTCTCCGAAACTAAGTTGCAGAATATGCTGTTGCAGTTTCCGGAATACAGTTCAGGCCACTCTGTATATTTCTTAAAAATTAGCGCAATTTTAAATACCATATAAGGAAAAAAAAGGGCATCAGCGATGGCAAGGAAATGAAAATCACTGTCATTTTATATATAAAATTATATGGAAAATGTTATCTATATTCATGTCTAAGCGAACTGGACGTCGTTTTTTTTTTCGATCATACGTTACTAATCTACGTGACTGAGCTATTATAGATAGACATTTTGACTTTGTTAGAGAATCACCCTGTATAAAACCATTTGCAATAAAACTTCCCTAAAATTTATCAAATTACTATTATTCAATTATGAGCCATTTTGTATAGAACATTGAGATAAATATTATGAGCGGATTTATCACGTGCTATAGTTTTTAACATTTTTTTTAACTTTTCAGATCCTGACATCGGTACCAAATGTGATGTTCCATTGAACCATCGAGAAATATGCAAACCAGCTGGCCGGGATTGCTTTTTATATTTAGAATTAGTGAAATTAATAAATAGATCAATTTTCAATAAAAATAAATGAAACAACATTTTAGTTAGTATCTTTTTATAATTATAATAGCTCCCGTATACAGATTGTTAACTAGACGGTTACTTATTGGGGAACAAAATGGCAACACTGCCTACATACTAAGCTAAGCTGCCGACTAGTCCCGTCGCGTCGTCTCTCGACCAGGGTTGTTAAGTAGTTTATGAAGCAAAAAACTACGCCAAAAACTACGCGTAGTTTTTGTATTAACTACGTTTTAAAAGCTACCTTCAAAAACTACACAAAAACTACGTTAAAAACTACCTACAAAAATATAGTAAAACATAAACAATTTAGACTTTAAACAAAAATCAAACCAAATTCTTATCATAGAAGTATGAAGTTATATTATATTTGTATAAGTTAAACATCAGAAAAAAAGACAATTTTTTTTTCAACAAGTATATTTTCTATGAAATACAAAATACAAACTAACCTTGAACACAAAATAAACTATAAATTCTTATGGAGAAATTCTCCATAGACATTCTCCAGGAGAATATATGATTTTTTACATCTAAAGGCACAACTAGAAAAAACAAAACAAAATATAGTTTTTACATTTTATTGTGTATTACCAATGATAGAAATCTATTCGGTCTATCTAACGTGATTTGATTTTTTTCAGAAATGTTGTTTCTGTTCACCACTATGTTTCTATTCCCCCCATTTTACGGTAGTAAATGTGTAGTTTATGTAACTAATGTAGTTTTTTTAAATAACAGTGAAAACATAACCTAAAAACTTTGTTTGTTGATCAATTTATAGAAATAAAAAATCTATATTTTAGTTACATAAACTACACATTTACTACCGTAAAATGGGGGGAATAGAAACATAGTGGTGAACAGAAACAACATTTCTGAAAAAAATCAAATCACGATTAAAAATATGCAAAGTAAAAAGAGTCGACATATCTAATATTTCTATCATAGATTTCTATCATTGGTAATACACAATAAAATGTAAAAACTATATTTTGTTTTGTTTTTTCTGTGGCAGCACTGTTTCTGTCAATCAACTGATCAATAAATGTGAGATCGATTTATCACCTATTTTGTATGGCGCGAAAACTTTATAAATAAAATATTTATTTTTAAAGTAATACATAAGTTGGTACATGTAAGTTGTTATATTATATGTATTGTTAATGATTGTTAAACCTACTTATAAATATGTAATAATTTACTGTTTCTAATCACCTTGTTGGAAATAGAATTGATAAAAACCTTAACATCAATGTGTGTTTCTATTCTCCCGAATAGCAGGTGAATAGAAACACAAATGTTATTTTTATTTAATATTTATATGCATATTTTTCAAAAATCAAATTATATGTATACGCAAAGAACAAACAAAGACCCATGTTTTAAAATATTCGGGAAAATAATACCACATTTTTATCAACCGGTATATCGCTAATAGCCTACGAAACTGTTCTCACCCCATTTTACGGTACTCGACATTTAAAAAAGTACTTGTGACTTGTGACATGTAGTAAATGTAGTTTACTAATTACTACGTGTAGTTTAACAACTCTGCTCTCGACGAGCGGGCCGAGGTTGCCATATTTCAACCATAAGGCTCTTGCCGGGAGTAATAAACAAATTAACAACTTGTATAGCGTTTAACGCCTTGGGAGTAACAAAGCACAGCTTGCCATGCTAGAGCCGTTCGGTATACAAGGAAGGTAATGTGGCTAGCACTACGCTTCAACCGCCTATTACTATCTCAGGATTGTGAATCCCAAGTACTCATTTAGGGCTGAGTCGACCTAGGTACAGTACGTCTATCCGTTCTGTGGCTACGGGGTATCCGTGAGAGGGGAAACGATATTCTCTCGATGTTTTTCGTAAAAAATTAGACGACGCGTCCCATCAATAAAAATTCGACAAATTTGCAAGCAGCCAATAAAATGAGTGGGCGGAGCGATTTGCGGTGACGTACTCGTCAAGTCGACATATAAAATATATTGCTGTTTATTTAAATGTTTTTTGTCCGCATTCCTTTCATAGACACAGATCCAGCAGACGAACTGTACCCATACTATTTTTATTTTATATGTAGGATGCCGGCTGTAGGATTCGAACCCGCAACCTTGAGATTGGTAGACGAGAGCTGTAAACTACGTCTACTGGATCTGTATCTATGAAAGGGATGCGGACAAAAAACATTTAAATAACATCAATATATTTTATGAATCCCTACCTAAATAGAAGCGGTAGAAAACACTCCGCCCACTCATTTCATTGGCTACTTGCAAATTTTTCGAATTTTTATTGATGGGACGCGTCTTTCTTCTATTTTTTTACGAGAAACATCTAGAGAATATCGTTTCCCCCTTACGGATGCTCCGTAACTATAGAACGGATAGACGTACTGGACCGCTAGGCCACCGGGCACCTTTAGTATCTTTTTAACTTTTGCAATTAACATTAATTCATCATCAGACATTTTTAAAGAATTTAAAGCACTTACTTTTGCTTTTAATAACCAGTCAAAATAGCGAATGATTGGTCAGAACAAGACGAACAACACTGCACGCCTACGTTTGCTAAATGTGGATGTCAGAGCGCATTCCGAATAAAACATACGCACACTTTTGGCGAATTCGTTCGTTGCCATGCGGCCGTATATGTTTGCTAAGTGAATACTACCTTATCTGGTTCCATGAGTCTAACTTTTTTTAATTTGTTTTTATAATCATTATGTGTGGGATTCCACAGGCATTCGTATAATCGGTATTCATCAATAAGACACAAAATCAAGATATTATTCCACTCCATAGTTATAAAATCAAACAACAATAAACTAAAATGATCTTCCTGTCTGGACTAGGCGGACGAGCGCATGCGGAAATGAGTATACAGCTTTCTTGGGGTTCTTGTTATTACCGATTCTGAACCGTCCTAGAACTCTGCAGCGCACGCGCAAATGAAATAATGTCTTCATATTTCCTTCTGCGCATACGCATCACAGTTCTAAGTCGGTTCAGAATCGGTAATAAGAGAAACCCGAATTAAGCTTACATCTGTTTGCGTGCGGTTGTGGTAGTATTCGCTTTGAAGTACCGCCAAGGTGTAGTTACCAAGCTTTCCTGAAATTTGTGGTTCACCCGCAATATACTAAGGGTCGGCATTTCTGGTCTTGGGTGCCGGTTTTCATGTGTAGGAAGAGTACGGTCAACACGCTAAGTAAAGTAAGATGTTCTGAATAAAGACAGAAGACGAATATTTTTCCAAGCGCATGGAATCTAGCGTCAAATTAAGTAGTTATGTAATAAATACTTCGTATTTTTGTTCACTCCGACTTACTAGATTGCCATAACGACCAATAACGACTCACACCTATATAGTACGTCTGCTGGATCTGTGTCTTTGAAAGGAATGCGGACAAAAAAAAATAAATAAACAGCAATATATTTTATACGTCGACTTGAGTACGTCACCGCAAATCGCTCCGCCCACTTATTTTATTGGCTACTTGCAAATTTGTGGAATTTTAATTGATGGGACGCGTCGTCTAATTTTTTACGAAAAACATCGAGAGAATATCGTTTCCCCTCTCACGGATACCACGTAGCTACAGAACGGACAGACGTACTGTACTGCACATGTACAGTACATCTGCTGGATCTGTGTCTATGAAAGGAATGCGGACAAAAAAACATTTAAATAAACAGCAATATATTTTATACGTCCATTTGACGAGTGCGTCACCGCAAATCGCTCCGTCCACTCATGTTATTGGCTACTTGCAAATTTGTTGATTTTTTATTGATAGGACGCGTCGTCTATTTTTTACGAAAAACATCGAGAGAATACCGTTTCCCCTCTCACGGATACCCCGTAGCTACAGAACGGACAGATGTACTGTAAAGCGGCCCTCACACGATCAATAATATTGCCAATATTTTTTATTGTCAATGTTTTATCAATATTTGAAAGGTGGCCTGACACGGTCAATACATATATCAATATCAAGTTTTGTGCAGATATTAAGTGTGAATTATACCCTATACCAAAAAATAAAAGATAAAAAAAGCGTGTATTGCCATCATTTTGGTACATGTAAGTGAGAAAAAATCGAGGAAAAAAATTTTAAAAAAAATAAAAAGGCGTTGGATAAAAAATAGATATCAAAAAGAAAAAGGTTTGGCCAACTAAATCTTCTAGAATACGTTAAAAAACAGGAGCCTGATGATTGCGATCTAAAACTCGTGAAAACAACGACGGCGATGTTCCGTCTTCCGCCATGGTTACCAATAAACTAGTCAAATCTTATCAATCATGCGACCTAACGATCAATATATTGTCAATACGACTAGCTCCGCCTTTAATATTGTCGAGTATTTTCAGGATCCCGGAAAATCCATCAATATAGATTTTGATGTACTTTCAATATATTGATGGATTTTCGGGTTCCTGAAAATCAGGGCCTATTTTTCATCTGGTAGGGCCCTAAGGCCCAAGCAAAAATTCGGGTCCTCTTTTCCAATAAAATTCAAAAATTCTTTTGTTAGTTTGGGTTAAAAAAATAAAACGTTATTTTTAGATTGGGGAATCGCCGGCGCCGATGTCGGTATCTTTGATATAAATTTATAAATAATTTTAAAAAATGCATCAATTATATCAATTTAAAGCTTATTTTATTTAATTCTATTTTCCTTATCAGAGGTAACTGTTTCTTTTTCTCTGCTGTGTAAATTTACATTTGAATGAATATTTTACAACCTTTAACAGGCCCCCCCGACCACCGGGCCCAAGGCCCGGGCCTTATGGGTCTTATGGTAAAATAGGCCCTGCTGAAAATACTCGTCAATATTAAAGGCGGAGCTAGTATTATTGACAATATATTGACCGTTAGGTCGCATGATTGACAAGATTTGACTAGTTTATTTAATCTATGGCTTATTTGTAACCATGGTGGAAGACACAACATCGCCGTCGTTGTTTTCCGAAGATGAATCTGAGATTGAAACAAAAAGTGAACGAGAAATATTACAA